TCGTTTTGTCTTTATGTAAAGCTATTTTAAGTAACTTATTGTCTTTATACATTTACAAATCGTAATGACTTAGTAGACATATGAGAAGTAACAACACAGTCAGTTACATATCTTCCCAAAGAATCAACTAAAGCGAAATAAAAGGACTAACATCAATAAATGACAACAAGAAAACAACTGACATCAATATTTATCTTGATAGAAACTAATCCAATCAATCTACATTGTCGATTGTCATTCATATTCATATTGATAAATGCCATGTGAGTATATATACGTCAATGAGAAAACAACCCAACGACAAAGAAAACCAAACGACATATAGAGGGCAACATTCAGTCTTCAACAATGGACAAAATAAAGAAGTACAGCCAACTGTTTTGAGAGTATTATAATTCGGACTATGTAAGATATTTTTCAACAAATTTCTGAGTTTTACTCCTGGAGTGAAACATATACAAAAGAAATTGGCATTATGTTTTTATGCTGTGCTGTTAAACCACTGTTCGAGGATAGGGGAGGGTTAAGCGCTCACAAACATGTTTAACCTCGCCAAATTCTTTATGTGCCTGTAGTCCAGTGTTGTTGTTGGTTTATGTCTGTCATGGAATTGTTTTGTTATAAATAAGACCTTTAGTTTTCTAGTTTGAATTGTTTACATTTTTCATGTCGTGGCCTTTTATACATGTAGCTGACTTTACTGTATGCGTTTTTATACGACCGCAAAATTGTCGTATATTGGTATGACGTTGTAGTCGTCGTCCGAAGACACATTAGTTTTCGCACTCTAACTCTAGTTTAAGTGAATGGATCTCTATGAAATTTTACCATAAGGTTCAGTACCACAACAGGAAGGTTGAGATTGATTTTGGGGGTTATGGTATCAACAGTAAAGGAATTAGGGGCAACAAAAAAACTTCCAGACATAACTTGTGTGTTAGTGTATGGATCTCTCTGACATTGTACCACAAGGTTACATATCACAAAGGGAATGCTGGGATTGAGTTTGGGGGTAATTGCTTTAAAATTTTAGGAATTAGGGGCCAAAAAAGGGGCAAAAAACAAGCATTTTTCTAGTTTCATGACAATAACTCGTGTGTTAGTGTATGGATCTCTCTGAAATTGTACTGCAAGGTACCATACCACAAATGGAAGGCTGGGATTAATTTTGGAGGGAGTTGCCTCAAAATTTTAGGAATTAGGGGCCAAAAAGGGGCAAAAAACAAGCATTTTTCTAGTTTCCGGACAATAACTTGTGTGTAAGTGTATGGATCTTTATGAAATTGTACTACAAGGTTCCATATCACAAAGGGAAAGCTGGATGTGAGTTTGGGGGTAATTGCCCAAAACGTTTAGGAATAAGGGGCCAAAAAGGGGCCAAAAATAAGCATTTTTCTTGTTTCCAGAGTTTAACTTGTGTTCAAGTGTACGGATCTCTCTGAAATTGTACAGCAAGGTACCATACCACAAAGGGAAGACTGGGATTGATTTTGGAGGTAATTGCCTCAAAATTGTATGAATTAGGGGCCAAAAAGGGGAAAAAACAAGCATTTTTCTAGTTTCCGGACAAAACTTGTGTGTAAGTGTATGGATCTTTATGAAATTGTACTGCAAGGTTCCATATCACAAAGGGAAAGCTGGGTTTGAGTTTGGGGGTAATTGCCCTAAACATTTAGGAATTTGAGGCCAAAAAGGGGCCAATAAACAAGCATTTTTCTAGTTTCCAGACAATAACTTGTGTTCAAGTGTATGGATCTCTCTGAAATTGTACTGCAAGGTACCATACCACAAAGGGAAGGCTGGGATTGAGTTTGGGGTGATAAATAATAAGGGGGTTCAGAAAATTTTTGTGGGGGGGGGGGGGGGATTTTTTTCCCCCTTTTTTTTCTTTAAAATTTTCCATTTTTAATTGATTATTTCTGATTTATATATAAAAGCAAATAATAATGATATGGTTTGAATAGGTAAATTAAAACAAAATTAAGTTCTTAGACCACATTCATTCTGTTTCAGAAACCTATGCTGTGTCAAATATTTAATCACAATCCAAATTCAGTGCTGTATCAAGCTTGAATGTTGTGTCCATACTTGCCCCAACTGTTTAGGGTTCGACCTCTGCAGTTGTATCAAGCTGCGCCCAGTCATATTTATTATCATTGTTGAAAGCCATACGGTTGCCTTATAATTGCTTACATCCACCTAATTGAACTCTAGTGGATAGTTTTCCCATTGGCAGTCATACCATATCTACCGGTTTATTTTTAGCTCACCTGGCCCGAAGGGCCAAGTGAGCTTTTCTCATCACTTGGCGTCCGTCGTCATCATTAACTTTTTACATTTTGAACTTCTTCTACAAAACCACTGAATGGAATGAAACCAAACATGGCATGAATGTTCCTTATGAGGAGCTGACCAAGTGTTGTTACTTTGAAGCAGATCCATCATCCAAGATGGCCGCCAGTGGGGAACTTAGTTTAACATAGGACCCTATGGGAAATACATACAAATGTCTTCTTTTAGAGAACCACTGAATGGAATGAAACCAAACATGGCATGAATGTTCCTTATGAGGTGCTGACCTAGTGTTGTTATTTTGAAGCCGAACCATCATCCAAGATGGCCGCCAGCGGGGGACTTCGTTTAAAATAGGACCCTATTGACAATACATACAAATGTTTTCTTTTAGAGAACCACTGAATGGAATGAAACCAAACATGGCATGAATATTCCTTATGAGGTTTTGACCTGATGTTGTTACTTTGAAGCCGATCCATCATCAAAGATGGCCGCCAGCGAGGACTTCGTTTAACATAGGACCCTATGGACAATACTTACAAATGTCTTCTTTTAGAGAACCACTGAATGGAATGACACCAAAAATGGCATGAAAGTTCCTTATGAGGTGTTGCCCAAGTGTCGTACTTTGAAGCCTATCCATCATCCAAGATGGCCCCCGGCGGGGGACTTCGTTTAAGATAGGATCCTATAGACAATACATACGTATGTCTTGTTTTAGAGAACCTCTGAATGGAATGAAACCAAACATGGCATCAATGTTCCTTATGAGGTGCTGACCAAGTGTTGTTACTTTGTAGCCAATCAATCCTCCGAAATGGCTGCCAGTGGGGAACTAAATTTAACAACGGACCCTAAATGTGAAATACATACAAAAGTCTACTTCTAGAAAACTGCTTAATTGATTGAAACCAAACATGGTATGAATGTTTCTTTTGAGGTGCTGACCAAGTGTTGTTACTTTGTAGCAAATCCATCAAACAAGATGGATGCCAAGGGGGAAGTTAGTTTAACATAGGACCCTATGGGAAAAACATACAAATGTTTTCTTCTAGAGAACCACTGAATAGAATGAAACCAAACATAGCATTATGTTCCTACTGAGGTGCTGACCAAGTGTTGTTACTTTTTAACCTAACCATCATCCAAGATGGTCGCCAGCAGGGGACTTAGTTTAACATAAGACCCTATGGGAAATACATACAAATGCTTCTTCTAGAGGTGTACTGAATGGAATGAAACCAAACATGGCATAAATGTTCCTTATGAGGTGCTGATGAAGTGTTGCTACTTTGTTGCCAATTTACTGTTCAAGATGGCCACCAGGATTTTTTTTATTAAATTACGGGGCCAATATTAAACCAAATTTGGCCTCAATCATTATAAGGGTATCTGTTATGATTTTAATCTATTTTTACATGATTTCGAAAACCAAAGTAAAATCAGGTGAGCGACACAGGCTCTTGAGAGCCTCTAGTTGTATAATCTCTTAAATTTCAAAATTGATATTATAACCTGTATACATTGGTCATTTAATAAAGTTATGCGTCATTGAGGCAAATCCATAAAAAGGACTCGATCAGAGAAGTAAAAAATTAGAAGTCGATTAGAGAACAACAAAAAAGACGTCGATTAGAGGGGTATCAAATTGACTGTCGATTTGGAATCTTTTATTGTGACGTCAGATTTGGACTTCGATTTAAGGAATGGACGTCGATTAGAGACTGGACGTCAATCTGAGTCTTACATACAATGTCTTGTTGGAATTGAAAAGGGAGTTCTGTTCACTAATATTCCATGGGATATAATGTTTTTGCATGTGTATTCCTATCTTGGTACCTTGTACATAACCACTATATTTAGTATGTCAATTATACTGGATGACATTTTCTATCCTATAAAGGTCATCTTGCTGTACTTTCATGAAGACCATAATATGATTGTCCTTCATCAGGACCTCTCAAACTCAAACATTTGAAAGCTCGGGATGTATAAACATATAGAAATTAGGAGCTAGATGCCCAAAAGTGAACTAAGAAGGTTAGCCAAATTCAGCTAAGGTCAATTTTGCCAGAGGGAGTTGGAACCTGAGATTCTTAGTAAATTCTTAGTTTCTACTAACAGGACATTTTTAAAAAGTATGTTACAAATCATGTCAGTGCCATGACAAACTGTGCATAGTCAAAAGAACAGTATGGGAATATGCATGTAGTAAATATAGCCCTTTAGAATTTAGCATACTTTTGCACAACCAAAAAATAACAATTTGTAGTCTTATAAACAAATTAGCAGTTAAGCAGCAAGATTTGGTCACAGTTCTGATTTAGACATAGAAAATAATGTACAGCAAAAGTCTCTTAAAAGTCAGTATAATAATACAATTATGTCCTTCAACAAAAATAAATATCAAAATGATAAAGTTTTGAAAAGACTTTCATTGTTGAAGGCGGTACAGTGACCCAAAGTTGTTAACTTCTATGTCATTTGGTCTCTGGTCGAGATTTGTCTCATTGGCAATCATACCACATCTTCATATTTTTATACTGAAAAGGTTTATTTCTTGATTTAGTAATTTTAGGTCTTTTTTTGAGTCTTTGATTTTTTATGTGAATTGTGTTATTTTAACACATGATATAAATGAACTTGAAAATGAAGAAGCTAAGTTTTATTTTGTGTAAATAGAGTTATTCCTCTTTTTGTTAAAGGATATGGTGTAACCTCAGACGGATATACCACATACATCAACGCCTCCACTTGTACATCACATTATAGACCTGACAATCCACCAATAGTATTTGACTTTCCCATTCCTGAAGGTCATTCTAAACAGGAAGTAATAGATTTGACTGTTACACAGTATGGCACACAAGATAACAGAAAAACAGAGACAGTTTCAGATGATGATTTAGTGGAATTTAAAGAGGATGAAGAGGAACCTGTAAAACTTTGTGTGCTTAGTTCAACCTAGTTATGTTATTTGCAGAACAGTTATTGGTAAACTTATGGAGACAAGATTAATAGGAAAATCAAATAGATATGCTATTAAGAGGGAGAACATTAAAATCTTTTTCTACAGAGAAAAAAATGAAACTTTTATTTTTATTAAAAGTGCAAAATATGAATTTGGTTTTAAAGTTTAAACTTTTTGTTGTCAATAATATACTTTGGTCATTTAAAAGGATGACCGAATAGTCAGATATACATTTTTAAAATAGTAAAAAAGCAGTAATTCACAATTTAAACCACTAAAACGGTTCTATTTCTATGACACATCTATAGGGAAACATTTTGATAATTGCATATGCATGCCAATTTGAAGCACCTTTGGGGAGGATAATATACTTAAGTTTTTCTGCACTATTATCAGCCTTGATTATATTTCCAGTATTAAAGAATCACAGTTTTAATTCTTGAAAGCAATACCCTATGAATATTTTATGGTCATGATGAAAGCTCATATTTATACAAGACTTTTATAAGAGCTTTCATAGAAACAGGACTAAGAGGATACTAAAACTTGCTCTCAACAATAAATATACACCTCTGCCTTATTACTGTGTGTACTTATGTTTTATTAATTTGAATTGTAGTCCAATGAACTGCACAAATTTTACAAGAGTTATGTAATTTTAATGCATTTTTTCTAATATTGTATTATGTAATTTTGCAGGTTTCATTTTGAACAAAAAGTCTGCTCAGCAAAGTTCTGAAATAAATTTTTACAGCAACTCTTCCCTCCTGTAGAATTATACAAAGCAATTGTTGGTCTTTCATTATAAAACTGTTGCTTGAATAACTTCTGATTTCAATGATCTTAACAAATGCAAAAATGATTTTTATTATTGAAACCCTTGTTTTTCTACATAATTGAAATACAACTGTTGAAAAGAACTTTAAAAAAACATGACATTCAACTTTAGGAAGCAAAAATATAGTTTTCTTTGTTCCAAAATATGATAAAATGTCTAAATTGTCAGACAGCAGCAGCATGCTAAAAAGTTAAGCTGGTTGGTAATGAACTAGACTTCATTTTATAAGTAAAATCATAGTTTGTAGGAACAATATGAGAAAACTTTGAGGTTTCTTTTCCTTATCCATTCATTTGATGTTAAATGGTTTCTCAATGAGTCTGATTACTTTAATCTTTTGATGTGAAAAAAGTTAAAGAATGAATTTGATCTTATAGATTGTAATTATGTTATTGTGGTAATTATGTTATTGTGGTAATTATTTTCTGTTGTTATGAAAAAACTATTGCCATTGTGCACAGACAATAATCTCTTTCGCAAAAATGTCGCCAAAAAAATTGTTGTCACACAATAAATGCAATATTGAGGTTTTTCAATGGCTGCAGGTATAAGTTTTGGTAATTTTTATGATTATGAAAATTGATACATGCAGTCAGTAATGAACAATGCTGTAACTATTAGAGTTTATGAACTAAAAATATTCAAAGGGGACAATATTGAAATTTTTGTGATACAAAGTTTTTTTCTTTTTTTTTTTCCATTTTAGTAGTGATTTTTCAGTTTGCTTACTTGACCTTCATATGTTGAAATTGCAATTTAGTTTATAAGCTGAAAAGAGTTGTGTGTTAATGGCTTAGGTTCCAAAATTCTGAACTTTATGTTGCCCTTTGTTGTTTTGTTTTTTTACCTAAAATAAAATTGAAATAACTTAAGCTAGATATATTATATGATATATAAATAAAAGCATGATTTGTTATCGTAACTCAATTCAGACATGTTTAGTTGTGAATATTTTTTGTTTGCCTCCATACCTCATCATTTTGTAAATATTAACATTTATTAAGAGACAAGACTTACAACCACAGTTTTGATAAATTTCATTTCTTATTGTTTTTTTTTTTTAATTTGTAGTTTTCAAGGTCCAAGAAAAAATAAGCACAATAAGCCATAGAGTTTATAATCTGTCTTGTTTAGTTCCAATAAACATCCTGTTAGTATGTATGACTTTCCTGTTGATTATCCAGAAAATGGTACTAATGTGAAACTAATTGCAACATTTAATAGATTGGTCTATAGTTATCCAAAGGTTAAATGATCTATAATCTTCTTTATTGTTCATTGTGTGTTAATTTACGTTTTTTGATTGAGTTAAGCCTTCCAATTGATATTTTATAGTGTGTTTTTCTATGTTGTGATGTTATACTATTGTTTCAGAAAAGGGAGAAGGTTTGGTACCATTAAAACGTTTAATCCCGCTGCAAATGTTTGTACCTGTCCTAAGTCAGGAATCTGATTACAGTAGTTGTCTTCTGTTTATGTAGTTCATACGTGTTTCTCGTTTCTCGTTTTTATATAGATTAGACCGTTGGTTTTTCCGTTTGAATGGTTTTACACTAGTAATTTTTTGGGGCCCTTTATAGCTTGCTGTTCGGTGTGAGCCAATGCTCCGTGTTGAAGGCCGTACCTTGACCTATAATGGTTTATTTTTATAAATTGTAACTTGGACGGAGAGTTGTCTCATTGGCACTCATACCACATCTTCCTATATCTTTGTAAAAAAGAACTGTTCTGTGCTTGCAATGTCAACAATGTATTGCTATTTTTATGTTCAGACTACAATGATAGGAGGAAGGGGGCGTTATATGTCTTGGTCTGTGTATCTATAACTCCATCTCTTCAATTGTCCTATTTCAGGTTAAAGTTTGGTTTAAGAGGTTTATCATGAAAATGTGGTCAAATCAACTTAAAAAACTTAATACACTAGTTAATTTTGATGTTAACACTTAGATATGTATTCAAAAATAGAGTTTTGACTGATATTTTGTGGTTCACTAAATATATACATGTAATAGTGGGTGTGGGGCAAGGTATCATATGGACACATATTCTTCTTATTTACTTATTTCTGTTCCTATATTATGTTTCTGTACGTCCTGAAATTGGTTTCTGTTCTCTAACTTTAGTTTGCCTCAAACCAAATGTTATAAAACTTATACACAATGCTTATTACCACAAAACACAGATCAAGTTTCGAAATTGGATGACGTCACTTTTACTGTTCATGAGTTATGCCCCTTTATAAACATAAAAATTGCTGAATTTTTTGTTTCCGTTCTCTAACTTTAGTTTGCCTCGACCAAATATTATAAAACTTATACACAATTTTCTGTATATCAATAGTATATGATATTAAAAATATATGTAATATGTCTGCACTTATTAATTGGCAGAGCTTTTTATTTGATTGTACCGATACTGGAAGTGTACAGGACAAAAAGGCATAACTGTATTGGAATTTATGATTTAAAATTATGTTCAATTATAACTGAGGCTTTATGAAGTCAGAATCAGCCTCTGCTGTATTAAATCATGACCATTAACTGTATTTGTATAGCAGTGTACCATGTCTTTCGTTATCTTTTCTGTGATATTAAATTCTTAATAAATGTAAAATTGCATCTTGTTTCTTCATTGCAGGCATTGAAAGAGCAAAAAACCTGAAACGGAGCCCTTTTTATACGACTGCAAAATATTTGCAGTCGTATAATGGTATGTCGTTGTCGTCATCCAAAGACATTTGGTTACCAGACAATAATTTGAGTATAAGTGGATGGATCGCTATGAAATTGTACCGCAAGGTTCCATACCACAAAAGGGAGGTTGAGATTGATTTTGGAAGTTATTGTCCAAACTGTTTAAGAATTAGTGGCCAAAAAGGGGCCAAAAACAGGCATTTTTCTTGTTTCAGGACAATTACTTGTGTATAAGTGTATGGATCTCTATGAAATTGTACTAGAAGGTTCCATACCTCAAAAGAATGGTAGGTATTGATTTAGGCCCAAACCATATAGGAATTAGGGGTCAAAAAGGGTCCAAAAACAAGGATTATCTTGTTTCCTGACAATAAATTGAGTATATGTCTATGGATCTCTATGAAATTGTACGTCAAGGCTCCATACCAAACAAGGTAGGTTTGGATTGATTTTGGGGGTTATGGCCCTAACTGTTTAGGAAAAAGGGGCCAAAAACAATACTTTTCTAATACTTTGTATAAATTGCTTATTTCTTGAACAATTTCAATGGGGTTTAATTCAAAGTCTTGAATTTTTGGGGTTCTTTAATATGCTGAATCTAACCGTGTATTAAGATTTTGGGTCCGTTTTTAAATTGGTCCACAATGAGGTTTCGCCAAAAATTGAATTATTGGGGTTCTTTGATATGCTGAATCTAACCTTGTATTTAGATTTGTGATTTTGGGCCCGGTTTACAAATTGGTCCCCATTATGGTTCAAAGGGTCCAAAATTAAGCTTAGTTTGAATTTAACAAGAATTGATTTCTTGGGGTTATTTGATATGCTGTATCTAAACATGTATTTATATTTTTGATTTTGGGCCCTTTTTACAAGTTTCCGAATTGAGGTCCAAAGTAAAACTTTGTTTGATTTCATCAAAAATTGAATATATGGGGTCCTTGATTTATGCTGAATCTAGCTGTTTTTATACGACTGCAAACAATTTTTGCGGTCGTATATTGGTATGACATTGGCGTCATTGTCGTCGTCGTCGTCCGAAGACACATTGGTTTTCGCACAATAACTTTAGTTTAAGTAAATGGATCTCTATGAAATTTTACGATAAGGTTCAATATCACAAAAAAAGGTTGGGATTGATTTTGGGGGTTATGGTGCCAACAGTAAAGGAATTAGGGGCCAAAAAATAAGCATTTTTCTAGTTTCCAGACAATAACTTGTGGAACGGTGTATGGATCTCTCTGAAATTATACCACAAGTTTCCATACCACAAAGGGATGGTTAGGATTTGCTTGTGAGGGTTATGGCTCAAACCGTTTAGAAATTAGGGGCAAATAAGGGGGGAAAACAAGAGTGTCCTGGTTAATGGACAAATACCTGAGTACAAAACATAATTTAAAGCAGTGTAAGGGAGGTAATTCAAATACATCATTTGAATTACCTACCTTACACTGCTTTTAAATTATGTATAAAGTAATGGTTAATGAACAATTAAGACAATTTAAAAGCAGTGTAAGGGAGGTAATCCAAATACAACGTTTTGATTACCTCCCTTACACTGCTTTTAAATTATGTTTAAAGAAATACATATTTATAAAGGAAGACCAGTAAAAATATCTGCAAATGTTGCATCTTTTTTTTTACAAAAAAATCCATATCAAAGATTTGGTACCACATTTTAAATTCTATTATAAAATAGATTAAGTTAGCACTATGGTAAATTTAAATGGTTAATCATGGTTGCAAACTCCATTGGAAATTTGAATTGAGATTATGACCATATCTTGAGGGAAAGAATTTTTTTGGGGAAAAGGGGGGGGGGGGGGGGGGGGGGGGGGGGGGTTGAACAAAATTGTGGAAGGTCAATTTTTTCTCATTTCAGATTTCAGAAATTAAAAAGAAAAATTCTTCAAATATTATTTTTTTTTGCAAAAAAAAAATTGGAGGTGGGTGTTGGGGGTAACACGGAACAGCATAGTGTATTGCACAAAAGCAAAAAAAAAGGGGTGGTAAATTTTTTTTTTTTTTTGGGGGGGGGGAGGGGGGTCAATTTGCAACAGCAAAGTGTATTGCACAAAAGCAAAAAATTGAATATAAATTCAAATCATATAACCTATTCTAAGTTCTTTGACTACAGTTATACTGTGTCAGAAACAATCCAAATTCAGACCTGTATCAAGTGCGAATATTGCGTCCATTTTTGCCCCAACTGTTCAGGGTTGGACCTCTGCGGTCGATCCAGCTGCGCTCGGCGAAGCAATTTATTTAAAATTTTGGGCCCATTGAGGTCCAAAATAAAACTTTGTTTGATTTCATCAAAAATTAAATTCTTGGGGTTCTTTGATATGCTGAATCTAACCATGTTTTTAGATTTTAGATATTGGACCATGATGGGTAAATGTTGAATTTCAAATTTTAAGTTCTAAGACCACATTTATTCTGTGTCAGAAACCTATGCTGTGTTAAATATTTATTACCAATCCAAATTCAGAGCTGTATCAAAATTGAATGTTGTGTCAAGCGGAGCATTTTATTTTTAATTTGTTATCCAGTGTTTAGTATTAGATCTCAACTAAAAATCAATGTGATTGTAATCACTGATGGAAAGATTGGAATGCTTGTTTCATAATTTCATACCTTAATTTTGTCTTCCATGAAGTATAGTGGTGAAAAAACTGATTATGTTATAAAACTAGATGCATTTGTGACATTGTAGAGAAAGATCCACATTTTTTCCGTTACTGTAGATAAAATGAGCTTAATATCTATCAAAGTCAGTACATTATTTTAAGTTTATATTTTTTTTTTCAAAAAGAGGAAATTATCAAATAAAGATTCCTCTTAAAATGAGAGAATTCCAATTTTCCTTAAATCTGAAATTAAACTTTTAATAAATGAACGTCCAAGTAATGACTTGCATGCATATTTTTTATCATTTTAAGTTGGAAGTTCATATATTTTCATTATTAATGGCTTACAAAGTCTTCAATTTTGGACTAAAACATTTAATATTGATCTTAACTACAATTGAGAAATTAAGAGTATAATAACTTATACGAAAATTTTGTCCTTGATCTCATTTTCATGGTTTATCGACTGCTTGAAAAAAAAATATGGTTTTTTGTCATGTGGATTTCTTACTTATCATGAGTAATAGGATAACAATATTTCGGTTCCCTGCAAGAATCTACACTTCCGTCATACATGGTTCACCTGACCTCGACATCATTTCATGGATCAGTGATCAATGTTAAATTTACATGATTAGGTCTGTTTCTCAGATACTATAAGCAGAAGGTCAACGTTATGTGGTATTTTGAATTATTTTAAGGGTACATGTCAATCTGTCAGGTTTAATCTGACCTGACCTCATTTTCATGGTTCATTGAATAATGTTAAGTTTTTGTGTTTTGGTATGTTTTTCAAATACTATGAGCAATAGATCAACTATATTTGGTGTATGGAATGATTGTAAGGTATACATGTCAGTCTGGCAGGTTTTATCTGACCTTGACCTCATTTTCATGGTTAATTGGTAAATGTTAAGTATTTGTGTTTTGGTCCTTTTTATCAAGTACTATAAGCAATATGTCAATTAAAGTTGGTGTATGAAATTATTGTAAGGTGTACATGTTTGTCTGGCAGGTATCATCTGACCTTGAATTCATTTTCATGGTTCATTCGTCAAAGTTATTTTTTTGTGTTTTGATCTGTTTTTCAATTACCATAAGCAATAGGTCAACTATATTTGGTGTATGGAATAATTGTAAGGTTTACATGTCTGTCTGACAGGATTCACCTGACCTTGACCTCACTGTCATTGATCTTTAAACATATTTATGTCATACTTACTGAGTTGTGTAATAAGTAGTAATTACAAGCAAATGATTATGAAAGTCAGGAGTCATTTAAAATGTGATTTATCATAGCTGTAAATTGAAAAAGACAAGAAGTAATCTCATTACAATTTAACTGAAACTTGATCATAGATGTGATCGAAAGTTTGGTATGTAAATCAGTTGAGAAGGATATGACATTGGAGGAGTTTCTGATTTAAACTCCACCTTTGATTTTATTTTTTTTTCATCATAGATGTCATTCATTGCACTTAATTTAATTAAGACCAATGACCATACTTACAAGTCAATTGCCATACATACTTGAATATAACAACTCTAAAGATATAACACAAATTTTTCACAGTTCATTTATGCATATTGACATATACATGGGAATTATTTTGGACCATATTTCAGTGTATGAAGATGTAGTGGCTAAAGGCTTTTATAATATCATGATTTCTGTGGTGATGTTATAAGAAAGAATTGGAATTAAAAGTTTCAATCTTTCTAAAAAGGTTTTTTATGCCCCCGCCGTAGAGGAAGGGGCATTAAGTTTTACCCTTGTCCGTCTGTACATACGTATGTACGTCCCAAAAATGGTTTCCGTTTTTCTAACTTTAGGTTGCCTCAACCAAATGTTATGAAACTTATACACAATGCTTATTACCACAAAACACAGATCAAGTTTGAATTTTGGTGGCGTCACTTTTACCGTTCTAGAGTTATGCCCCTTTACAAATGGAAAAATTGCTGAATTTTTCGTTTCCGTTATCTTACTTTAGTTTGCCTCAACCAAATGGTATGAAACTTATACACAATGCTTATTACCACAAAACATCGATCAAGTTTGAATTTTGGTGCCGTCACTTTAACCGTTCTAGAGTAATGCCTCTTTACAAATGGAAAAATTGCTGAATTTTTCCCTTCTGTTCTCTAACTTTAGATTGCCTCAACCAAATATTATGAAACTTATACACAATGCTTATTACCACAAACCACAGATCAAGTACAATTTTTTTCTGAAATATTCATTGATAGCCTTTGTTTGATGAAAGAAAACAACACTTTGTACATGGATTGTTTGTTGTTTGCTTGGTGTCCAGTGGCATAAATTGTCTTTCTTTTTATAAGCATTAAATGTTATTTGATGTTGAAGGATTTTTGTTGTATTCCTAAAAATAACTTGTTTGTTAAAAAAAATTGGAAAATGGAAATCCAATTAAAAATGATTTTGTTGAGTAATGTTGCTATGTTAACGATGTAAATAAAGTAGTAACAGATACTAGATGAATCGTACCCCTTGCATCTGCATAAAATGCAATATCGCAACAGTTAAAGGCTTTTAAAGCACATGGCCTTGAATAATTGAAACTATGCATTGGTAATATAATAAGACTTAATTTTTTAGATGAGTTAAAATTTTCATTTCACTGATAACCCGTAAGGAAGTAATAGTTAAATGCACTTATCTTTCAAACCACAGGAAAGTAACACTTATATTGTCTATTTTCATAATTAAATTTTGGTTATCTTTTTTTTTTTATTTCATACTTAAATTACTATGTTTCACTGTTGTTCGGATTTATTTTCATCTAAAACAAAAGATGAAGACAAAGGTAGGATAAGTTTAATTCTTAAGAGCATGATATGTAGTTCACTTTGAATTTTCTGGGGTTTTTTTTCTCCATCAAATAAACTGTCATTAAAAATATATGATAATCATAAATGGTGTCCATTGAAGAATTATACGTTAAAAATACCATTTTAATAACAGTTTCTATATTCTATTACGGGACAGCTGGACAGCGGTAATAAGATAGAAGTATAAGTGAAATAGACAATATACCCCGGATTTGATGGTGTATGCCATTTGGCTTCATTATGCCCTTTTTTGGTTAGCTTTTTCGTATCGTTCTGGATGGTGATCTGAAAATAAAACCAGGTAAACTTGTGCGATTTTGTGATTTATCATAAATAACATATGAATAACAAGGTGTGCGTCAACAAGAAAGAAACCCAGCAACACAAGAAACAAAGACATTAAGAGGTCAACATGCGGTCTTCAACCACAAAAAAGTAACTTTTCAATTTCTAAATAATCCGCGTCTATACAAATTATGAATAAATTTGACAGAAAATATCAAAAATCTACCATCAACAACGTATTCTTGAAAGGACTACAATTATAATGTACAATAACATTAATGGTACCAATTCTACTGCACCAGAAGTGCATTTCGACATCAAATGCCTTTCATGGATGCCCGAAGCCAAAACATAATACATGTACAAACAAGAGCCATGAGCCAGTTCTTCAGTGGTTGTCGTATATTGGTGTAGTTCATAAGTGTTTCTTATTCTCGTTTTTTAAATAGATTAGACCGTTGGTTTTCCTGCTTGAATTGTTTTACATTAGTCATTTAGGGGCCCTTTATAGCTTGTTGTTCGGTGTGAGCCAAGGCTCCGTGTTGAAGGCCGTACTTTGACTTATAATTGCTTACCTCTTATACATTGTGACTTGGATGGAGAGTTGTCTCATTGGCACTCATACCACATCTTCTTCTTTATATAGAACGTTGGTTTTCCTGTTTGAATTGTTTTTCACTAGTCATTTTGGGGCCCTTTATAGCTTGCTGTTCGGTGTGAGCCAAGGCTCCGTGTTGAAGGCCGTACTTTGACTTATAATTGCTTACCTCTTATACATTATGACTTGGATGGAGAGTTGTCTCATTGCCACATCTTCTTGTTTATATAGAACGTTGGTTTTCCTGTTTGAATTGTTTTACACTAGTCATTTTGGGGCCCTTTATAGCTTGCTGTTCGGTGTGAGCCAAGGCTCCATGTGGAAGGCCGTACTTTGACCTATAATTGCTTTGCTCTTATACATTGTGACTTGGATGGAGAGTTGTCTCATTGGCTCTCATACCATATCTTCTTGTTTATATTAACAGCTGACAAAAAAAAAAAGAACTCCAAACTCTGACCAGTAATGAGAGTTATGCATGAGGTAGATTCATCTCTTAATCTAACACTATTGCGAAATTTTAAAACATCAAAATATAAATAATCCGTATTTTCAGTCTACTGACTACTGGGCTGGCGATACGCTCGTAAGGGACTTAAAGTCAACCATCATCGTATCGACCCAGTTGTAGTATAAATACCATTAACAAGACCACTTTTACTGCACCAGATGTGCATTTCGACAATTAATGTCTCTTCCAATATAAATATCAGTTAATCTTGTAAGAAAATAAGGTTCCAGTTTCCTCATAGAAAATTGTTATTACGATGATCGATATTTGCTTACATCTACGTCAATTGGGACTGCATGGTAGATAGTTGTCTCATTGACAATCATACTACATCCTCTAATTTTCATATTGAGACCTTTCATGGTATGTTCCATTTGGTATCGAGCATACATCTTTTTTAGTAATTCCCACTTTTAATTATGTCTGTATGTTCCTGATGTACACTCGAGTCGTTATGTTTTACATTGATCCAATCCATTGTAATGGTTACACAGGGAAGTTAACAAGTTTACACATACAAAAATAACTTACGTCAGAGTTTTAAAAAATAAATGGACATTTAAAATATATGCGTGTTTTTATACATGCACAATGCTTTATTATAAACAAGATTTGAAAAATTAAAACCAATCACTGAAGAGTCTGTAAAAAAATTGATAACAGAAGTTCAATTTACTGGTTATTATAAAAACCTTACAATTACTTTTCAAGGAAACAAGATGAATTGTAAGTCGGCTAAAATTTTGTAAATATATGGTTTGACATGTTCATACCTTGGCCTACAGATAATGGGGATGAGCGCTGGAACATAACTCAACTTGATGATAGAATAGAAACTTCATTTTTCGCATTATGCGTATCTTCTATGCCAACAGAATTTGCATATACAAATTATTTTCTCTTAATTGATAACACGGTTCAGAGATTGTGCTTTCCTGTTAGTATTTTCTTGATTCTTTGTTCATGCCTTCAAAGAAGATGCTGAACTAGCGGTTAGATGTCCTCACTCCCAAATTTAAAGGTCGTCTGTATAGCTTGGTTGACCGTTACGAAATATCCGTGCCCTTATATGGATATAATATATTTATAAGTACAATAATAAATACAACCACATCCTTCTTTCTTGGTAAATAATTGATCACTGAAAATTATTTATAACTGGAAGGTCGAGCATGAACTGACAACCTGTGTGTTGATCACTGATATTTAGTAGGTTAAATGTAACTCGTCATTGAGTTTTGTTGACTAACTACTTCTCTTATTCCTTATTCTTTTGGCAAAGGCTTTGTCTGTTTTTAGTCCGTTTGGGATTTGATTGCACTTTTAGTATCTTATAGTTTCTTCGAAATGCAAAATGTAAAGCAACTGTCATTTATAGTGTTACACATTGCAAAATGCAAAGCCCATTTGAGTACATTTCATTTACACTTGAATCAATTACCACTTTAAAAACAAATATGACAGAGGATGTTACATTATCACTCTGTAAGTGGTTGTGGTAAGAGGGATAGTTGTCAGTGAATCATATTTATCATTTTTTAAAATAACTCTAAGTAAAACAAATTTTGTTGAATGAACCATTGTGGACACAGATCAGTGTGGATAGCATGATTGGATGTTTGACAGTGTTTTATATGACAAAAGGAGTTCTATGTTTTATGTTTTCTATGTATTAACTGTGTTGCACAATGACAACCAACATGAGCATTAGGGGTGTTGTTTAATTAATATTTAGTTTTTTATGCTCAACACGGGCATTGAAGAGATACTATTTGCATTAATAACCAAATGATTATGATAGAATATGTTCCATAGCTTTGATTTTGGATACATTTTGTAGCTAGGAGAAGAACACATAATAGGTTAAAGTCGTTCATTTTTTTCTTAATGTGATTTTTTTATATGGGCTGATGGGAGATGGTATCTGAGAACATGTATTTGCTTACTATTTGTATGGTTCTATTTATATTACTTTGTGGTGGATCGTCAGTATCATAAGTTAAAGATTTCGGTTAAATGTGGAAATTGTTTCTCAGATTAGAAGACATTTAATGGTTTTTAGAAGGGGAGGTCAACTCGGTGAAGATTTACTAATCGAGTACTCGTTGGATTTACCGAGCGATACTTGAGTATTCGCTCGAAAAAACATCTACAAAATGGAAACACAAAATTACACCCATTTTACGTATTGTGGGACGTTGTCTTATGGACGTAAACCCTCAATTTTATTACCCAGGACTAGATAATAGTCCTAGGACGTTTATACCATATACTAGTTATGTAAGCTGGCAATGATCTAATCAATTAATTAATAAACATCTATAGAAAAAAAGATTACTCAAACAATAGTAATTAGGAATCCTAAAAAAAACACATTTAATGATCAGCAAAGGGTGATGATTAGAACTTACGGATGCCTTTAACCATTTTCTGAGGGTCGATACAGGGTGCAACAAAATTGTTCTTATTAAGTAATATTATCTTGTCAGCTTTTTCTGTGACGAGTCGATTGTCAACTTCGTTACGTAATTAAAAGTCCTGCTGATGAAAATATTTGCTCTGACGGTACAGAGGTAGTTTAATGACTCAGACACGCTACGCTAAAAGTGTAAGTCTTGGAAAGGTGCTCTTATTCATAGTCCACCTATGTTTGGAGGAATTTTAAATGACAATTAAACGCAAACATTCGAAACGTAATTTTTATTAATTATGATTAATATTTAATTTCCCGGGAGGTGCTCTTAATAAAAATATTATTTCTTTAAGAAGGCAACAACATTCTTACAGGAAACCGATTAGTCGAGTATCATTTTGGTATTCGATACTCTGTACTACCGAGCGATACTCGAGTACTCGTTGACATCCCTAGTTTTTAGTAATGACAATGCCTTACATGATGATTGGGGCTAGATGAGCTAGAAAGTGAATTTCTGTGTTATTTTTTATTAATTCTTTGAAAATATCTACTCCAAAGCTGGTCAAAGCAAAAAAAAGTTTTGACCAGTATGAAAATGATATCAACAAAAGAACCTTTGTGAGCAAGCTTCAAAGACTCATAACTAACTACAGAAGTCATATGAAAAAATGTCAAGTGGATATTATGAACTTCTACTTAATATGTCTAAATATCTAAAAAGTTTTAGTATTCAATATGAAAAAGTATTGCAAAAGTATTCTCTTTTCAGTTTTTTTTTTTGTTATATGGATACAAATATAAGTGATACCAATACAGTAAGGCAGTTTTGATATGGTATGAAAGTGTAGTAATTAACATTTACTGTTAATTCACACAAATTAAGAAATAAACAAATGAATGATAAATGTTGAACATGTACAATGAAATATATTTTAGAAATCAATTAGGCCAGATAGGCCTTGTAAATTTTGGTCTTTTTCTTAACATACTGAATGACCATTTACACTCAGGACTGAGTCGCCAGTAGGCAGTACAGATGTAAAATCAAAGCACTGTAAGCGCTATAGGCAGTTAATCAAAAACATGATGAAAACTGTGGCAGTGTTGCTTAAATTGTTTATCACAGCTTGTTATATCTCATGTTTCAGATTTTTTTTGTCATGTGCTGTACTGATTTCCACAATCCTACACACTTTTCTCTAACAATATACCATTTTTTTTTTCAAACGTTTATTATTCATTTTTAAATTACTTTAAAATATGTATCCTTTCGATGATTGAATGTCTCAGAAGATGTATGTACACTGTCCCAGGTAAGGGGAAGGTCTGGCGTCAGTAAACATGTTTAACCCTGCCAGATTACGTGTGTGTCTGTCCAAATCATTCAGTGGTTGTCATTTGTTGCTGTATATCATATTTATTTTTCATTATTGATTTGTACATAAATCAGGACGCTGGTTTTCTTGTTTGAATTGTTTTACATTTGTCATTTCAAGGCCATTTACAGCTTTATACTATGCAGTATGGGTTTTGCACATTGTTACAGGCTGTATGTGACATACAGATGCTTACTTCTATCAACTTCTCAATACACTGGTGAATGAATTTTTCTTATGCAGGAATAATATCATCAGAATTAAGGTTTTCCACAGTGGTATATAGTTTAATTCCAATATGTTCTAAGAGTTTTCATATGCCACATCAGCATTTTTAGTTAGATCAGCAGGTGTCACTCCGTTCAAAAACTGATTTAATAATACTGGGAACAATCTGACGTGTGGTAATTTTATTGTTTATCATGCATGCATGGATCATATTACACAAAAAGATTATGTTGTTGGGCTAGAAATGCTTTTAATTTTCCTTTACATTATTGTACTTCTAAGTGTCCAACCTATTACATATACATCAAATTTCATACAAATATTTTGTCTGTCTTTGTTTAATATGTTTATATTCTTCATTTCTTACATACTTTATAAAACATATTTCATGTATCTGCACATTGTATCATCATTATGTATTCAAACTATCTTTATTTAGCTGATACCTGGGTTACTACTTGTATATATATTGATAGTGTGCAATAATACGATGTACATATATCTCCCACATTTTATAGTAACAGTTGCACAGACATGTCATAGTTCTAATATTATCATTAGACAGCCTCTAAAAATAGCTGGACCGTTACAGTAAACTCCATGACAAATTATATTAATGTGTTGTAACCCCTGGCAATTTTGTAAAAATTCCTGTTAGAATTCTGAACGAAAATTTGTCTGACTAGTCGTCATATTATTGGACCTGGTAAAAATTTTCATAGATACATGTACTTTGATCATATCTGTAGATATACATGTATAACTATATACAAAACATCAAAAAGGATAAAGTTTCATAGCGGTCATGGAATTATTATGATAACTAGTCAATGCAGCTACTAGATAGTATCATATATTGTACATGTATGTCTTGTCACTTCTAGGATATTAAAGCCAAGAATTGGAATCTAGCTGAAATAAAAACAAATACAAAAATTGATATTGTTTATATAGACATACAATCATGATAAAACATATTTACACAAGTTTTGTCCATGAAATTGAAACGAAATCATTATGGGATCATGGGATATTCTTATTTTAAGGTCAGATCAAATTTTGATTTTCGACAAATTAAAAAGATGAGCAGTTTGAGAATCAGAGAGATAAAATTATGTTAAATTTTATTTCTTTCATTCAATTTTATACATACAATGTATATGTCATTTAATATAGTATGCTCTAGTCTGCCTCTGTTGTAAGTTGACTCATGGTCTCTGATAGGTCTATCAGACAGAATTATATTGTGAATACCAAAATTTAGTAGTTAATGTTGATTTGAGTTGACTTTTAGTGGTATCAGTTGGTTGGCGTGGTACGACTTTGTAATCATGAGTGTGAGTTGTTGACTTGCTTCCCTGTGGAGAACACTGAGTTTGTTCAATTTAAGTTCTATGGTACAATGACACAAATCAGACAATGCCTTACTATTATTGCAATCAAAGGTGAGGTCTGATTGACCTGCCTTTAGTAAATGTAAATGACAAGCCCCCTCCAAGTCCATGATGTTACTTGAGATCTATACTAAGATTGGAATAAATAAACGGTTGGTCAAACATTCTTGGTCTTTACATTTAATGAAAGATATACCTTCTTTAAAATTAGCCATAAATTAAGATTTTCTTTTATAATAGGCCCAGAAATAAAAAAGTTCTGGTTTAGAAAAAATGTCATAAACATTGAAATGTCAAAGTCGGACCACATGTACTTGTTTTTATGCATGGGAAGATCCACTATCAACGTATATTATGAGCTCCTAAATCTTCCCATGGATATAAACAAGTGCCTGAGAGTCAGACACTTGCTTCATTTCATGATCAAGATAATGTATAGATCGAATTCTTCTATCTGCATATATTTCCCAATTCACATTTGCTCTTTATCGATTTTCGCTGATTTTATACATTTTTCAGACATCCGTTCCTGTATACAGTAATATATGAATGGGTTTTCTACATTTTTGTGTGACTTACTATGATCACACGATCTTTCTATGTCTAATATCCATGTCACATTCTACTGTCATTCTCTGCAAAATTGACATATTTACAAGGTCTCACTCATTAGAGACAAGAAGCGACAAGAAGCGTCATAAAGTGCGTATGGCTACTAAATGCAACAGAATTTAAAACTTTACAAAACAGAAAAAAATCAACTGTAATTAATTGACTTTTCTTTAAATTTATTATTTTAATAGTATATAAACTTTCTTGTCTCTAAATTTATCCTCTTGTCGCAAATTCATTCATCCTATCGCCAACTTTTTTCTACTTGTCGCTTATTGTCTCTACAATCTTCTTTTCGCTTATTAGTGAGACCTTCTTGATTTCCGGTTTCAAGTATTTCATTCATAAATAACATGGTATATT